AATTCTACCCACTTTTATTTAAAGCATTGTTTAGAAATGAGAAACTAGAAATAAGAATAATCATCAAAGGCTCATGTTTCTCAACAACTATAAATGAGAAATAAAAAAAAAAAACAAGAAATGAAAATGCCACCAAACGAGCCAAGGCATGTAGTGCTTTTTTCACCTCTCGGATATTTTTCCCTCAAAACTAAAAAATAAATAAATTATTTATTTAATTTTGAACATAAGTATTGATATGTGCCTTTAATAGACATATTTAATTTTTAGACCTAGACAAACAATGCATGGTTACCATATCTAAATAAGAGAAAAGGCCAGTGGAAATTAATGCCATTGCTGTCCCTCACATCTATCAATTCCAACCTTTCAATAATTAGTTGGATTGTTTCTGGTTTTGGGGTACAAATGGAAATAAATAATGCAAAATTCAAGATATATAATATTATTGTGATGTCTAGAGTAGTTGGCAAACAAAACTACATTTATTATGATTGCATATATATTGTGACATCTCATTTCATATATTTATATTCACATACCAAAAAGAAAAAAGAAAAAAAAACTATAACAAAATTCACTTATAGTTGTACCATATACAATACACTAAAATTAAAATTAACATATACAAAAACATAAATATTCATCTACTACGTTCGGACAAAATAGTTGTGTCTATTTAGTTTTTAAATTAAAAAAATCAACTATGTTTCTTTTAATTTTGGATTAAATKTTTTATTAGTTCATTAGCACGCTTGACAAAATCGAAGATGATTATTATTTTTTTTTTAAATTTTTTTTTATTGATGGTGCAATATGAAGGTATATGAGAAAACATGAATCAAATCAATGGACCTATATAGGTTAAATGATCATAAATATTACATCATATTTTCAATGCTTTGCTTTTTTATTTTGGCCTTTTTCTCCTACTTTTTTAATTATGAGGATTTTGATAATTGAGAATTAAATTTGATCACTTTAGATGTTACGTAACACATTATGTATTTTCTAAAAGTGGGGACAAATAAAACCAAACACCAAAAGCTAATAATTATAACAAAACTTTAGATAGATATGATATTATTTTTTGCCTAATTTATTTTCTACACTAAATTTTATCTAAATATTATTTTATCATTACATACTTTGTAAATGGGTCTTGATATTTGTTGTAAATTTTGAAAGCTATAATTATTAAATAAATGATCAAGTATGGTACAGGAAATATAGGAAAAAGATAGCATTAACAAATTTTCAAATCCACGACCTTTTGGTTGCAGATAGGTAATTTGTTGAACGATATTTATATTAACAAAAGAAATTTAGTTTAATTAGTTGATGTTTATAAATTCAGTTATTATATTTTAGTTTGGTTTTAATCTAATCTTTTTGCAATCGTTAGAGTTTTTATGTATTAAAATTATTTTTCAAAAAAAATTCATGTAATTCTTTTAAATAGTCAACCAATAATAATTAAAATTTTTTAGGTCAATCCAATTCCCAAGGTAGAAAACAAAAGGCTAATAACATAACAGTGATAGATTTTTTTAGTCATTTTATTAGTGTAACATTTAATGTGAACGAACTTTGGAAAAAATAAAACTATAAAGCTAGACATTTACTCAAAATAATAATAATAATAATAATATAAAGCAAGACAGAAATATTTATAATACAAAATATTAATCATATTGACATCGAATACGATATATTAAAATTAGTTTTGATAATAATTAATTGAAATCTCAAGAGTTTTTTTTTTTTCTTCTTTTTTCCTTTCTGGTCAACCAATCTCAAAGTTTGACTTTGTCGAATAAATAAATAGAACCGAAAATATTAGTCTTGAAGCTAAACATTAAATAAAGTTAATTTAACTCAATATTTTGTAATGTTTTTGTCAATGTTTAAGTATCACACTTTCATAACCAATTGATTGATAGATAGCTGATTCTCTACAACCCATGGTCAAGTGCTTAGAATTTTTGAATTTCCTTTTTTTTCTATAATTCTTTATAGTTTCAAAAAAATTATAAGATTATTTTCTTTTTATAATTATTTGTCATGATTGTGAATGCATCGATGATGGAAATAAATAATATATTTCATTCGCCAATTTGCATATATATAAATATATATAATATTAGGTTTAGTGGCCAAACTTAATTTTAAAGGTTGAAACTTGAAGCAACAAAACTTTGATTTTTTTATTTATTATTTTTTAACAGAACAAAAACTTTGAATTTGAATTTGAATAAATAATGAAATTGATACGGTTCCATGATTTTTTTAGTTCATCATTTAGTTGAAATGTTATTTTCTAGAGTTATTCCAAAAAAAAAAGGATATTTATTGTTATTTTCTTGAGATTACTAGGTAGTGCTAGTTTTACAAGTGGCTTGACAAAGGCTATTTTGTAGATTTTGTTTTATTGACTTTGCTTGGATTAGATGTTTGTTTTGACTAGATATGGCCATTTTGGTATTTGAAATAATTTAAATAAAATAAAATATGTGATTTGAGTTTTTTTCCCTTTTTTTAAGTRGCTACTAGTTTTTTACTTAAAATTAAACATTATAAAAATATAAATTAAAATATAAACTACCATAGTGTGTTTAGTGGTCAATAAGGGTTAATGTAAAGAATAAAGTGAGATTAGTTAGGGTGCGCGTAACTAGCTAGTTCGGATACTTACGGAAAAGAAATTGAAGATTTAAATGCACTCATAAAAAAAGAAAGAAGAAATTGAATTCAATATATATCTAGTAGTTCCTATTTTTTTATTTCAAAAAAATATATTATTGAATCATATAACTCTGACCAATTTATTTGTAACTTGAAATTTTACTAAAATTCCACAAAAGCTTAAAAAGAGAGAGTAAACATGGTTATTTAAAAGAAAATATACACATATATATTTACATATAAGGCAAAAATAAACACGTTTGTTTATGATAATTCCTAATCTAGCTTGAGAATTGATAAGTTTGGGTACGGTCGAGCTTTGGAGCTAGCTTGATGGGGAAAGACATGCACAAAAAAAGCAAACACTCCAACATTCAAGTCAGTAAAAAACTAATTCATCGCTTTAAACTAAAATTGTGTTGCATATCTGAATCAAAATGATGCTTCTATTTATACGAGCAAGGTGATAGTGACGTTCGATCCTTTAGATGTACTGTTTGAAAATGAGTTGTAAGAGATTAATTGTCGGATCCTTATGATTGAAATATGTCACTACCTTCAACTAAGTGAAGTTGATCCAGCTTACAAGTCACCTTATAGTCAAACTTCAAAGTCGACCAAGTCGTGTCTTCGAGATTATAGGAAAAGATCTTAATACACCGATCTTTTCTACCTCTATCTATAGCAAGTCCATTTCTACTTTCCAACAACATTATTGTTTGAATTTAACAAAAAGCATACTAAGTAATAAAATTAAATCATTTCAGAATAACAAACTGTAAAATTAAACATGATATAATGATACTTTTATGATATATATTTGAAGAGAAGAACGCAAAAATTAAAAAATAAAAATAAAAAATAAGTCATTGTAATTAATATAAATAAATATTTGAAATTAAAATCTCAAGATTTTTTTTTGCCCTTTTCATAATAAAAATTCTCTCTTGTCGGCACTGCGCCCTCCAAAGTTTTAGCCGACAGCCTGCTCCAGATTTTTGCAGTCCATTTTACCAGATATCCTCTCTTTCAATTAATTTATTAAATTTTTAAAAAATTAATATTTATATAAAAATATATATAATTTTAATAAAGGTAGAGTTCTACTTAAATCTCTTGCCCATTTAATTTTATTAACAAGTCAATAATAATTAATAAGACACATACAATATAAATTAATAAAATTAAAGTTTTCTTTTAATATAATAAAATATGTAGAAATGAAAATTCGAACTCACTCTAGAATATAAAGTAYTTTAACTAGTTTAGYTAAGTTCAAATTGACTAATAAAATTGGAGTTAGACAAAATGAAAAAAAAAACATTACTTTCTCGATAAGATTTGATTTTTCATGTGGATTTCTTACCTTGTTGGGTTGAATTTCTATTGAGAATTTCAATCTCCCTTATTTTATATAATAAAATATCTAGACTAAAATGAGTTATTTTCAGATATTTAATTTTTTTTTAACTGGATTGGTGTAAGATAAGTTTATGAAGAGATTGTGATTGGAATTTGGAAAAGATTGACAAAGAAAATTGTGAAGCAAAAGCAAAAGTAATTTAATTATTTATTTTTTATCAGAAAAAAATAGGCGTGGTGGTAATAATTAATTACTGTTACCTTGATTTCGCCGAGCAGAACGTACGGTTGCAACTGAATCCAACTTTAGAACAAAAATAATAATAACTCATCCAAACTTCTTCTGTTCACACGTGGTGGTCCCCACTCCTCCACTGTCAGAGACCCATTTCCAACGTGTCAGCTTCCACGTGGCCCCCTTACCTTTTCCACTCTTCTCCACCCTTTTTGCTTTAATCTTCTTTATTTCAATCCTTAAATCTCTAATTAATACCTACTTACTCATCTAATCAATACTTTTCAAAAAGATAATAACACTAAATTAATTTATATGTATTTAAGAATTAATTTATATGTATTTTTTAACACTAAATTTACTATAGGGTCAATATCAAATTCGTGAGATTAATCTAGGTATTTCTAAACTAACATGAACACTTGGAGAATATACATATATATATATATAAAAGACTTTCAAAAAAGCCCTATTTTTACCTACCAAAATGAGAGAAATGAGTTTAACTTTTGCAATAATGCCAAATTTAACCTAAATAATTTCAAATCCGTCATATGGATATATATGACAATGAAAATGTGTATATTAGTAATATACAAAGAGAAAAACTTGTCATATTTATAAATTAGTTTCATTTTTAATTGATTTAAAATCTAAACCTTTCTCCACCTATCGAATTAAAAAAAAATAAAGATGATGATTATAATAATAACAACAATTTTGAGCCAAGAAAGAACAAAAAAAATTTTGAATTAAGAGAAATTAACATGTATGGTGGCATTGATGGCAGAATTACAGAGAGGGCAAGTATGAAGAGTGGACCCACACATTGTACACAAGCAAAGATGCCTACATGGCAACACCAACACCGTGGAGTCCCCGGCGGCACATTTCCGGCAAGAGCGGCGGTCGTCGGTGGGCGACGTGGCGCAGCTGGACTGGGCGTCGTCTTGTTCTTGGTCTCGGTCTCGGCCGGCGGCGGCGATGTGGAGAAGGTGGTCGAGATTGGTCCGAAGGGAGTTGACGGCGGCCTGGTTGGTCTCGGCCAGGTCCCGCCATAGCTGATTCTCCCGACACAACTGCTTCACCCTCTCTTCCAAAACCCAGTTCAATTTCCCCATCCTCGCTATCTCCTCCTCTTTCTCCTTCACCTTCCTCACCACTCTCTCTTCTATTGCCGATACCAGCATCCAACATTGCCTCCTCTTCCTCTCCTCCATTTCCATCCTCACTTTTTCCGTCTGCAATAATTATAAACAGATTTAAATATAATTGGTTTTCTAAAATCATCGTCCAGTAATATTTTGAAAATCTTAATTAATTATTACGTGGATGGCGATGAAGCGGTCCATCTCGGAGTAGTGGTGGTGGAGGATTTGTTCATCGAAGAAACCGGAAACCGGGCGAGCGGCGGCGGGTTCATCGTAAACCGGGCGCCTGGGTCGTTTCCTGGCCGGGAAATTGCAGGTCACCCCACTCTCGGCCTCTCCTTCATTGGGTTTCGTAAAATCTCTGCCAAAAACGAAACCCAAATTCAGAAAATTAAAAAAAAAGTGAGGAAATTAATTAGAAGGAGGAAATGGAATGGAATAGGCACCTGCTGGTGGTGAAGGGAGAAGGTAGAAGATTCATCCGCCGTGCTTCAACCGCCATGAAAATTGAACAAATTCTTTTCCTTTGCTTTTGTTGTGAGAGAAAACAGAGAGAGAGAGAGAGCATGCAATAGAGGTGGCCAAGATTGGGATTTAATTCAAAGCATTGGGAGTGGGTTTGTTTTTAAGAGAGAGAAAGTCAATGAATTTTACTTTTTTATTAAACCAATTAGGAATACCACATGGGGATGGCAGATTTTTTTTTTTTTTTTTGCTCTTTAATTAATTAATTAATTAATTGGTCATCTTGTTCATCGGGGGTAATTATGGAATTTCAGGTTTCTCCACCGTGTCCGTGGCGTAACTGTACGTTTTCGCAGAAGGTGATTTTCTCGCCAGTAAGTATAAACTCTGCCACGTGGCATACGGTACCTGCCACGTAAGCAAGGGAGCAAAGTTGTGCTTGATGCTGAAGTGGGCCATGCGGGTCCCACGTGGGAGATTAAAAAGAAATCGTGTGATCTTTTTGTAAGTAACAACAACAAAAGCTGAGAGGGGAGCCCTGAATGACACGTCAGTGGGGCCAGTGTTAGGCAATTCGGAGTGCAAAAAATTAATAATAATAACAAAAAAGAAAAGAGGAAAAAAAGAGTGGATCCCCCATTTCCCTGTTTTGTTGCGGGGAAAAAAATTATTAATTAAAAATTAAAAATAAAAAAGAGGGGTTGTCAGGTCACTACTACGTACGGAGCATCTGGGTCAAATTCCAGGGATGGGGGTGGAGGAATCGTGTGTGGTACAGGTACACCAGAAGCAAACACGGCGCGTGAAAGTCAATCATAAAATCATGACTTTTTTCCATCACAAACACAATCCACGCTTCCCACGTCATCAATCATTTTTTCTTTTTCTTTTTTATTTTCCTTTTTTACTTTACCGTAAATTTGTTTAATTCTAGATTCGATGAACTTCTTTATAAAATAATGCAAACAAAATGTTGAAATTTTACCTCTTGTTTCCATTCATTTACCATGTACTTTCACATCTGCCCTCTTTTAACCACAAATGTACATCTTTTCTCTCTTTTTCTTTTTTTATCTATTTCTGTGATGGTATATTATTCATCATGTTACCGAATCTCACGTTAAAAATATAAAAACAGACTATTCTATTGGTCGTCGATTGATTTTTAGACGAAATCTTATGAATATTGATAATACAAATTAAAATTTCTAATGTGAATTTGAACTTAATTTAATTGGTTAATTTAAAGAAAAGTGAATTAGATTTTGAGAGGATTTGACGGTTTAAAGATAAGAGACAATATTTTCATTAATATAAGGTTTTATTCTACCATTTTAGAGATTGCCAAATCACTACTGAACCAAAAATCTTAAGCTAATAGGGTAAAAGGTTTTACAATACCTAAATAACAACTGTCTATTGAAAGAAATGATAACACAGTGGTCTAAARACTCTGAACGTACGATCTTGAATTATTATGTTTAATCACCAATCAATTTAAAAGCTAAAATTGATGAATTACAGTGGATTTAATTATCTATTAATATGATAATTTGATATTTTAAGTAAAATATCACTCTTTGTTTGATGTGATAAAAATTTTCCTCCTTTTTTTTCCTTTTATGTGCTTTAATTGATTATATAAACTACCATTATATTTGAAATCATTTTCAAAATATAAAATTATTTACATAGTAAGAAGGTCATAAGAATGTGATGTGTTGAACTAAAACAACATTTTATCCTTTTTTTTATTTTTTTTTAGTTCAAACAACATTTTAAATTATATCTTCTACCTAATAACGTTTTCTTTTTCAAAAATAATTATTTGCCAATAGTTTTCCTTTCCCCTTTCCCTAATCTACCCTGTTTGAAAAACCTATTTTTACCCCTGAAAGTTTTCTTTTTCGATAACAAATTGGAGGTCAGGATTCAAACCCATGATCTCTTAATTAAATACATGTGTAAATTATTATTGAACTAAACTCTAACATAATACAAAATCTTTATTAGCTCAAGTTTTAAAATCAAAAAATTAAAAATAAATCGTTATTGTTAGATGTGCGACCAAAATCCCACCAATAGTCATTTGATCGAGGTGAAGATTGTTAGGAATGGATCAAAGTGCCACATTGGCTAGGGAAGGGAAAGATCTTGGGCGTATATAAGTTAGGGACACCATGATCTCACCATAAAATGAGACTTTTTGGGTGAAACCAAAAGTATAAAGTCGTGAAGCTTATGTTCACCGTGGACGATATCACAAATCAATGATGAGAATTCAAATAAAAAAGAAGCATCAAATAGTGAATTTACGAAAAAGGAGGATGAAATTTCTTTAGACCTAAACTTGGAAGGCCATTGAAATTGACATAACACACTCTTTTTGAAGATGAGGAAGAAGTAGGAGGGTCACATGGAAGAATCACCAACTTTGTTCAAAAGCTGTCCAACATCTTCTCAAATTCCTCTAAAAAAGAAAGCTTCAAAAATGGAAAGAGAATTTCAAAAGAAAAGACAATTAATGGGAAAATGAAAAAAAAAAAAAAAGAAGGAAGAATTTTATTTGGTATTGGTATTTCCATTGCCATGCCACCATTGAAAAAGAAAAAAAGAAGCAAAATAGAAATGGAAACTTATGGGATTCCCACCACACCCATCACCATTTTTTTTCCATCTTCATCTCTCTTTTTATTTCCCCTTTTACCCTAATTTTTCCATTTTCCATAGCCCTCTATTATTGCTCTTCTTAATTTCCCACTTTGCATCCCAATATTGGTGGATGCAATTTTTTTTTTTTTTAAATGGAACTATTTGTGTCATTTCCTTATGATCCAACAACCCATTTTGAAAAGAGGAAAAACACACACACTAACAATAAAAACTTGAAGAGAAAGAAAGAATTGGAATTAATTCTTTTAAGAGTACACAATAAATGACCTATTAGACTTGAAAATAATTGATGGATTTACCTTTGGGAGTTGATTAATTAAGGGAATAGCTGATCATGTGGTAGGGATAATTTTTTTTAATTATCTTTTTAAAATCTCATGTGTTTCTTTATTACTATATTAATAGAAAAAATTAACTCTAGGGAAAGAAGGTTTTTCTTAAAAGAATAAAGGGAAGAAAGAGGAAAGGAAAAAAAGAATAATTAGATTCCCTTGATTTTGGGCATAATTCTAAAATGATGTGTCGTTTTCTAAAAATTGAAGGATGTCTATAAGATTGTTTTCAAAAAATAATTTAAAAAAAAATGTCAATATATATATAGGATTTTGATACTTTGCCATATTAATCTTTAAAAGTAATTTAGAGCATAGCTTACTGAAATTGGAAGTTTCCAACCAAGTATAAGGTTGGAGGTAAAAAGTTGATTTTTTTTTCTAATTTTAAGGATAAAAACCATTTTGGTGGCGGAATTGACCAAATTGACCCAAAAAAAAATTTTGAGTTTAGGAAATTTACCTAAAAATTTGAGAAAAGTTTTCTCGATGGACCCAATTGAACTTTGTATGAATCGTTAGAAACAAAATTACCAAAGTAATGATTCAGTCCCTTATTGAAGTAATGATTTTGTCCATTAGCTTAAATTTTATAACAGTGAAAAACCTTATTAAACTTTCAAGTGTTGGTTTTTATTATGTAATTAAGATATAGTTTGTGTAGTTTATAAACAAATTTGGTCCTTCGTAATTTTATCGATCTACCTATATAAGAAACTTCATTAAATCTTAACAATATTTTACATGATACGAACTAAAATTATTACAAATTTTACACTACAAATACTAAATTGTTATATATTAAAGTTGAGAGTACGGCAAAATTAATTAAAAATTTGAAATAACTAAAGTCTATGAACCAAAAAGTGATTTTTAACGAAATCTTAAAATTTTAAACCGAATTGGAATGATAAACAATTTGGCATTTTGTTATTGTAGTTTTAAATAATGATAAATATTTTGTTCTTTATAAAGTTGTAAAACTAATAGATAATTTTAGGAAGAGATGACATAATTAAGTTAACCAAGTGAGATTTATTATTTGAATGTCAACTAACATGATAAAATCACTCGATAAACAAATCAAATTATTGTAGATAACGATTAGATGGGCAAATGGAAATATAATATGAATTTTGTCTCCCTAATCTATATTTAAGATATGGTTTGAATGTATGATTTAATAATGGAGTAAGTGGGAATAATATTGCAAAGTACATGCAGATCTAGATTTCTATATATTTATCCTATAGAATAATACATTATACTATAGTCAAGCACATGCCAATTATAATCTTATTTAAATTAATATATACAATTAATGCATTTGCTATCTAGGGTGTTGGACACCATAATGGGAGAAAAGAAACTATAAAGTATATTGTTTTCTAAAACTATATATATATTACATAATAATGGGAGTTAATTACATTAAAAACATGCATGATTGGTGGGTCAAAAACAATGATTTATTCCACTCTCTCTCATCCATATTTTTCTTAAGGAAGGAGAGAGAAAAGAAAAATGGTTACTTCCAAGACTTTTTGTTTGCTTTCCTAGAAAAATCTAGAGAGAAAAATCCAATTGTAAAGGATTCAAGGAAGTAACACAAAGAAAAAATCTAGGAGTAATAAACAATATTGGAAATTTTGAGTTTTTTTAAATTTATATAAATATCATCGAAGATAGATGTGAATGTTGATGTTAATTATGACTCAATATAGACTATTTTAATATAATTAAGTTTTAAAGTTAACCAGATAAATATATAATTTAATTATATCAATTTTCAATTCTATCGGTAATATTTTATAATTTGGTCATCTTTGTAGCAAAGTCGTTTCTAAAAAATGTGAGTATAAATTGAATAGAGAAATAAATAGATGTCGCGATATCCCATGTTGGAACCTTTAATTTATTACAATAATGTTGATACATTATTGATACAAAAATTTGATGCTTAATTTGTTTTTCTTCTACTTCATATCCAAAAAATTGCCACTATGAGAGCTAGCTTCCTAGAAGTTTCCAAGAACAATTTATTAGAAAAAAAGAACAAAAGAATGTCCATTTTGGCCCTTGGGAAAGTTGGTGAATTTTTCTTCACACACCACAACCATTCAACAAAACAGCTCACACACCCTTTTTTT